TGGACTAAGATAATAGAGAGATGGAAAGAGTGGGAGGATTAAAGATGTTATGGATAATAGAGGCAACAGAACTCACTGTTATACTGAAAGTGAAAGAAAGGGAAAAGAAGAAGTGAAGGTTGACTCCTCTGTACTGGATTAAACCACTGGATCATTAATGGGGAGCATCACAAACTGAAATAGGGATGAAGGCAGAGAGGAAAAGTCAGAGACAGAGATTAAGTGGGGGGGAATCAAGCATTCTACTTTGGAAAGGTAAATTTGAGAAGCCCATTAGACATTCTAGTGAAATATCAAGTAACATCATTTTAAAGTCAAGGGCATGAATCAATTGTGAAGGTGCATATTTGAGAGCTGTCAGTCTAATGACATCATTGAAGTCCATGGATCTCAATGAGATCATCTAGGGAAGGTACACAGCTAAGGAAGCACAGAGAGACTCTGATACTCAAACCAGAGAGTGTCTAATATCTAGAGAATGAGCAGACTACTTGCAAGACAGAGAGTCAGAAGAAGAAGATCAATGGAGAAAGGTAACTTTCAAGAAAGAAATAACATTGAAAAAGAAAGAGAAGTTAATTTATTGAATGCCACTGAGAGGTCAAGAACAATGGAAAGAAAAATGGTTGCTTTTATTTCATGACTTTACCTATTCTAAGGAGTGGAACAGTCTAAACCTTAATTGGGATGAGTTCAGAATAACAGGGGACACAAAGATGCAGACAATGACTGACCATACTTTTGGAGATTTGGATTGTGGAGGGGAGTCTGAGTAGAATCAGCACATGTAGCCCAAGGAGAAAAGCTGGAGTCACATAAGGACTGAGGCCACTGATCCAGAAGACCAAGGGCAGAATGGGCCAAAAAGGGTACAAAGGTAAAAAATAGATGAGGAAGCTCATAGCCAACAATTTTCTCAGTGAAGTTTGAGATAGGACAATCATTTAAGAGGGGGTGATGTGGGTAACAGCAGTGTGGGGAGAGCAAAGAACATGTAAAATATGACTTAGAGATAAGGCAGGCACACATGCCAGAGAAACACACTAGAATTTGGGGGCAGTGTGGAGTGCCCATTAGAGATCTATGTCCTTGAAATCAAAAACACTAACAACATTATTATGTATTATTATTCTCCAGCAATTTCTACCAATTTAGTACAGGAAAGGAATAGTTAGGTCGTTAACTTATCCATCCTTGTGTTTGCCAGGTAAGAGTGACAAATGGACAAGCCAGTTGAATGTAGTTAGATGATAACAATTAGTGTTGAATCATATTATAAAAAGAAATCTATACAAACATGAGAAGGGTGGAAAACTGATGAGGGGAAAGACTGAGCATTTCCATGAGGATGGAAAGTACTGGAAAAGGAACATTTATTATATTTTTCATAAGGAGAAGAGGTAAGTCAGAGAAAGACCAGTAAAATCAAGACGCCAAGGTGGACAATTATTGATGGTTAGCAGTGTCTCCACAGGCAGATGGGATGGAAGGAAGGGACTTGGAACTGAAAAGTTCAATGAATACAGAGGCAAGAGGCTGTCTCAGTTTATTAATGATGTTGCCAGCAGTCAGGACAAGACAAAGAACTCGGCTAGTGAAGTTGGTGCTGCCATCTTCCAGGATGAGAGGGAGGGGCAGGGTGAATAAGGACAGCAAAAAACAGAAGAAATGAATGGTATCAACCATAGGTAAATTTCAAGTGCTAGATGTTGACAAGAAAAACACTGGAGAAATTGCAGAAAATGACGTCTGACAGCAGGAGTTTCCTCACTCTAACTTTCAGCCAAGAGAAATGTATGTCAAAAGAGAAACACAGAGCTTACACTTGACAAGGAAATCTGTGTTTTCAGTGAAATCAGGGTTTGATCACAACATGAAAGTGAAGGGAATGTGACAAATATAAACAAATTTGAAGGTGATTTGAAGGTGACAAACTCCACCTTGCAGCAGGCACCATGGAATGTTTGGTGTGAGTGAGGTAAGGGGGGAACTTAGTACACAGTATAAAACAATGATATTCCTAAGATGAAGGATCCACCAAGAAGATTGGGATACCGATAAGAAATCAATTCCAGAGGAAAGTTGTACACCCAACATGCCCTGGACCTCTCAACACATCTTCATTTATGGCATAAAAGAGATGAACAAATGTCCTTTCAAGAACATTCTGGAGAGTGGGGCAGCCTAAGAGAGGCCTTGGCTCTAGTGGCCTTTCCAGGTCATCATAGATTCTTTCTCTCACTGTTTTTCTTCTCAAGACACGATGGAATATTTTCAATACCTCAAAGACACCATGTTCCTTCCCACCTCAGTATTTACACCCGCCTAAATGCTCCCTCATTTACTTCCTTCTAGTGAATTCCTACTCATTCTCAGGTCTCAACCTAAATGTCATATATCTGTTACACACCATCTTCTACTTCTTCCTGACACTTGAAATTTCTGCCTAATGAATGTTTTCAGCTCCAGAGTATAAGCTCCATGAGAAAAGTGAGTACATATGCTTTTCTTCTTTGGCCTCTTGCCTAGAATATAAATTTCTACCTGTGAGGCACTCAATGCTTTCTGCCAAAAGACTGACTTGAGAAGTTTTCTGACTGGGATGGAGGCAGGACAGAATAGAAGACCACAAGCTGAAAGCACAGAGCAGTCAGGATCAGATTACCCAGTCTGCCTCTTACTTGTTTGAAGGTATAGGGTATATCACATGGTTACTGTTAACCTCAGTTTCCTTATCTGGGTAAAGTTATCATGATAATATCTACTAACGGTTGGTTATAAGAATTAAATTTCATCACATGCAAAAAAAAAAGCCAACATAATGATAGCATGTACTAAGTGATTTATCTAACTGAAGTCTTCTTTCTTACCCTCCTGAATAAGGAAATAGAGAATAAGAAAACATTACTGTAGCCTGTGTTAGTATTCCTTAGAAAGATTATCAGAGTATATGTTTATACTCTTGCTGGTGAGGGTGGTGCTGCCATCTTCCAGGATGAGAGGGAAGGGCAGGGTGTTCAATTCAATTTTCTGAGTATTTTTTAGACAAATTGTTGTTGGAAAGGTTTTATTGTTTTGGCCTTTGAAACTAAATAGGAATACATGGATGAAAAAATCTCTACCCAAAATTCTTTTGTACACTTATCATAAATTCATCTCATGGATTTCAAAATACAATATTTCACAACAACAACTAAGACATAGAGAAGACACATAGGAATAGATGATAAGTCACCTGCACAGGTGATATAAGCTTCTTCACTTGAAGAGCAAGATCTGTATTTCCAAGGATTAGAAGGACACTGCCAGAGGGAGGTAGCAGTTTTCCGACACTGGATTACATCCACCCACCGGGGTCTAGAACCTTCTCTGATGGCAACAGAAGAGTTGAGTGTTCCACTGTCCCCACAGCCAAGCTGTCTGCAGATGGTTGATACAGTCATGGCCTCCATGGGGCTGTGGCACACACTGCCCCAGGTACCATTGTAGAAAATTTCCAGCCATCCAGCACACTGCTGGTCCCTGCTCACCAACCTGAGGGCCAGGAACTCTACATTCAAAAGGAGAATAACAGAAATTAAGCATTATGCTCATCGTGTTGAGTTTTCCCTGATTGTAGCCCAGTGAGACCTCTGCAGGTCTTCGACCTTTAGGTGTATTGTATAGTAAATTCATTTCCTTAAGCCACTAATTTTGTGGCAATTTGTTACAATACCATACCCATACAAAATGAATACAGAGGGCCTCAACATTTACTACTGCAGGTAACTGAAGAGTGATCTCTGCTTCCAAACGGAAACTCTATAGAAAATGATAGCATCCTCTCTTCTCTTCTCCCCCACTCTCTCTCCTCCTCACTCTCCTCTTCACTCTCCTCTTTTTATCACCTCTTTCCTCTCCCCTTTTCTCTCCTCCTTGGTGCTGCTCTGCAGCCTCCTTCCCCCACCAATAAAGACCTTTCGTACAAAAAAAGAAAGAAAGAAAGAAAATGATGGCATCAGGAGGTATTGCTAAGAAGGAAGGACCAGAAACTCAGCTGCTGAGGGAGAAAATGAAAGACTCTAATCTCCAAATGTGCTGCAAAGATGGGCACTATGGAAGCAGCCTCCTTCCCTCTGTCCCTTTCAGCAGCTCCAAGTCTTCCCCCAAGGCTTAAACGCCCACCCTGGAGAGCTTCACATCTCCCTCAGCCTACAACTGCCATGCTGACCTGAGCAGGTGACCCCTGCATCCTCCTTGTGCCTGCAGTTGTGCTGCCCCCAGCCTCGGGAAGGGCACCTCCACACGTGGGCCTCCTTTCCTGTGCAGTTCACATCGTCCAGCCAGATAGGCCCTGACCCCTTCCCAAAGTGAGCAAAGCCCAGGGCACCTAGGGCCTCTCCACAGTCCAGCTGTCTGCACACCACATGGGCATCGTTCAAGTCCCAGCCATCATCACAGATGGTGCCCCAGGAGCCCTCATGGTAGATCTCCACTCTCCCAGCACAGCGACTGCCCCCATCCACCAGGCGGAGGCGGCGATTCTCTGAGGAAGACAGAGCCATGTCAATGGGGCATTTTTATAGGAAGTAAAAAGGTTTCTGCTCCTGTGGGGCCTCTCACCTGAGCAGTTGGCAGCACTCTCCTCCAAGATAACAGATCCTGCTGAGTCAGAGACGGAGTCATTGCACTGAGGCAACAGCTGGGTCTGGTTTCCTACAGAGAGGGTTAGAGAACAAGAAATGGAACTCAACTGAGAATAATCTAGTGATATGGCCTGAGATGAAATCTTTCCTATGTTCATATCTTCACAGTTAAAATTCTGTATGGAGGTTTCTTTGGATAATGCCAAGCATTTGTGTTTAAGCAAAGAATACACTAAGAATGACTTTAGAAAAGTGAAAATATAACAATATAGCTTGAAGGCATTGTAGAGCTCCCAAGGAAGTAAGAATAAAATTGATGTCAGCCCTCCAGATTGGGCATCCCAGCAGCCCTAAAATCTGCTGAGTGGGCCAGTGGAACAAGGAGCTTATACTTCATTTCAGGCACCTGGTAGGGCCTAAAACTGATATCAACCTGATGAATTTAGTAACTAAGAGGCCCTAAAACCCTGCTGAGTGGAATAGCAGAACAGTAAACTGCCATTTCATTTTGACATGCCCTAGAAGGAGGGTAGAGAGCTCCATGTCCCCAGGCCTCTGAAACTGACATGAGCCCCTCAGTCATGGCATCTAAGCATTGGATATGGCTCTAAAACCAGCTGAGCAGGTAGGTAGGATAGCAAGATGCCACTTCTCTTCAGCAGGTCCTACAATATGTGTGGAGAGTTTCACATCAGAGGTATCTGAAACTGACGTCAGTCCCCTAGATTTGGTTGCCAGCAGCTAAAACCTGCTCACTGGCTGAAAGAACAGAGAACTGTCACTTCGCTTTGGCAAGTCCTAGAAAGAGTACAGATAGCACTGCACGGCCAGGCAGCCAATGCCAACTTCAATCCACCTGAATGGGCCCCAAATGACCTGAGACTATTCAATGGCACTAAAGCTGGCAAAGCAGTGGGCCACCTGTTTGGCCCAGATTTCACCTTCCAAGCCTCAACTTCAACTGCCTACTGTGAACTTAGCTAATCAAGCCCAACCAGAATATCTATGACCTTTGACTCAGAGCCACCTTAACCTTTTATCCTGGAATGAAAATAAAACAAGAACCACACACAAGAAGGAAATAGAAAAAAAAAAAGTTGAATCAGATCAGAACATTGCCCCAAAAGTATCACATCATAACTACTGCAGAAGACCCCAACTATAAAGAAATAGTGGATATAATAGAAATGGAATTCAGATTATATATGACAGAAATGATGAAGGAAATTGTAGACAAAGTAGAAAACTAACAAAAGGAAATCCAAAACTGACCCAAGAAATTAGTGAAAGACAACACAGTCACCAAGGATCTGGACAGAATTAAAAGGACATAATGGAGCTTAAACAATTGAAAGCGTAATTCAAGGAGTTTCAAAATGTAGTAGAAATTTTCAACAATAGATTAAATCATGGAAAAGAAAAAATCTCACAGTTTGAAGACAAGGCTCTTAAGCTAACTCAATCATTTAAAAAGGCAGAAAAGAAGAAAGAAAAAGCAGATCAATCTCTTAGAGATAAGGGACTATGCAAAGCACATGAAGAAGCAAACTATAGGGCTCCCCAAAGGAAAGGACATTTCACAAGTCTGAAAACCCTAGTTGACAATATTATACCTGAAAATTTCCCAAGCATCATGAAAGACTCAAACATACAACTACTAGATGGACATTGAACTCCAGGTCATTTCAATTCATACAAAGCATCTCCTAGACACACCCTAATTAACTGCCCAAAATGAAAATGAAAGAGAAAATTCTGCAAGCAACCAGGCATAAAAGCAGCTGAGCACTGGCCTACAAGGGCAAACCCATCAGAGTGAGGGATGGCAGCTGAAACTTTACAAGCCAGAAGAAAGTAGGATCCCACCTTTTATCTGCTTATATAAAGGCAGATGGGATTCTGTATACTGCAAAACTAAGTTTCATATTCAATGGAGAAATCAAGCCTTTTACTGATAACTGAATACTAAAGAAATTTGCCCCTATAAGACCTCCTCTGCAGAAAGTACTCAGACCTGTGCTGTACATAGACCAACACAGTGGACCACCAGCAAAGTAAAACCACTCAGAAATTAAAGGATGAGGCTGAGCTTCCACATGGCCCAAGTGATAAAACAAGGCAACCTCCATACAACAGAACTCCACTCTGATGAATTCAGTTCTCTCAATAAAAGTGAAGGGCCTGGCTCGGCGCCTATAGCTCAACCGGCTAAGGCGCCAGCCACGTACACCTAAGGTGGCGGGTTCGAATCCCCAGCCCGG